AGGGTGAGTTTTTCATTTTCCTCTCTGTTTTTCTTGTGGTTTTGACCTGAAAGCAGACCCTAGTTTTTCATTTTTGTTTTATTTTTGTTTTGTTTTTTACATACACCATAAAATTCTGACAGATGTAAAAGGGTTAAAATCATGCAAGTATTTTCAGAACATAATGTGAACCTTCAGCATACGAGGGTAGGCAAAGAAGCCAGACTCAAAGGGTACATCTTGTGTGATCCAATCACATGGCATTCCGGAGAAAGTGAATTACAGAAACAGAGGGCAGATCAGTGGTTTCTGGTGGTTGGAGGAGCACAGCAGACATTGCCCATAAGGGGATAGAACATGGAAGAATTTGGGAGGATGAAGTGTTCTGGACTTTGATTGTGATAGTGAATATATGACTGTTTACCTTTGTCAAAAATTCTAGAACTGTACATCAAAATGTGTGAATTTTAGGTTTTAAATAGTAAACATAAAACAAAAATATTAGAAGATATAGCACATTGTTAATAGATATAACTAGCATTATTAATATTAATATTTACTATTATTAGACATGGCTAGACTAATGGAAAAGTACCCTAAAAGAGGTACAATTGGATTGCTTTGGTAACAGCTAATGTGAATTAATCAAGAGGAATGCAGAGATATAAAAGGAAGCAAAAAGAAATCTGCTCCATGAAAGACTAAGAAGAAGAAATTGGGAAAGAAATATTAATTTATAGGGGCTAAGAATACAAATTACTAAGATTTTTTAAATCTTCACCCAAGGATATGTTTCTATTGAATTTTAAAGAGAGGAAGGGAGAGAGAAAAGCATTGATGCGAGAGAGAAACATTGATTGGCTGCCTACTGAATGTGCCGCAACTGGGGATTGAACCCACAAGAAAGGCACGTACCCTGACCAGGAATTAAATCTGCATCCTTTTTGGTGTATGGGATGATGCGCCGAGAAACTAAGCCACCTGGCCAGGATCCAAATTACTATGATTTCATTGACAAATTCAAGTTTGAACCTAAAGGCATTGATAAATAGGGGCTCCCTTGGGCTTGGGGTTTGGAATAAGGAAGCAGTGGAACAGGCTCTGTGGAGAGACAGTGCCCAGCATCACCTGTGTATCCACATCATAAATCAGGGGAGGTACCTAAGGTTATAGGGAAAGGGATGCAGTGTGTTCTGGGAATTGAGCACCTACACCATGGGTACAGAGCCAGGCTTCTAGCTCTGAGAGACAGAGCAGCCAGAACCAAGGATACATTCAGAAAGCCAACCGGGCTCAGACAGCTGATGTGACTGCAGCCTGGTGCTCATGCCACCAATAACCCAGACACCAGTGTGGAAGCAAGCAGCACACTGTGCCAGATGTCCACTCCTGGGGTGTTTTTGTTTTTTAAATAAAGGTAACAAGATGGAGTAGAGGATAGAGGATAGAAGGAAATAGCCATTAAAATAGGTGGCTGGGCTTTCACTGGCTCAGTGTCAGGATCACAGATGGAGAACAGGAATAGTACCTGAAAACAAAACAGAAAACAAAACAAAAAAATCAAAGGGGGTAAGATAATAATCTCAGGAGATACCTGAGACTGCTTCATGGAGGAGATATCTGATCGGACTTTAAGAGCTGTGTACTTCAAAAATGTGGGGATCGATTAAGGGAAGGGAGAAGAGAAGAGAGGGAAAAGGAGGAGAGATGAAAAAAAAACAGGGGAAAAAATACTGAAAATGGAGGCAATGCAGGCCACGACAAAAAGCCACCATGTAGAATAGGCATAAATAACAGGAAATGAACTAATGTGATGGGAGCAGAGTGCGCTGGAGAAGCAGCAGGATGTGGGCGCACTATCGACACGTGAAATCATTCCTGCTTCAGATGTTAGAAGGGAGTTTGTAAACCAGGGAACAGAACAAGCTGGGTGATCCAACTTCCTGGCGCTATTAGTTCACAGCTCCATTCAATTAAACAAATATAGTACTAATTGAGCAACTATCATGCCTAACAGCATATGAAGTGTTGTAATTCATAAATATGTTGCTATGCCCTTAAGTGGGGTTGACAATCTAGAGAGAGAATCCAAAATATCTACGAGAAAAAAATAGCTTGAGTACCAGGATTTGAGGTTTTGCCTCCAGGAGGGTACAGAATCAATAAGCATAGACTATTGCAAATACTAAACTCTAAAAGTTTACTATTTGCAATAGTCTGTGCTAGATATTATAATATATATATACCCTCAAATTTAGCTTTGTTTCCTTTTTACTTTCGTCTTTTCTTCCTTTCTAGAACTTAATATATCTAGATCTGCTACTACATAACAGTCAGTGTGTCCTGTCAAAAGACAAATAAGAGAGAAACCACATTGCAAAATGGGATTTAGAAATTCTATTTTAGAGATGGGTTTATTGATATGGAGAATGATTAGAAAATTTGTACAGATAGGGAACAAGTTAAGGGGCTGGGACTTTACTCAGTCCTCAAAACTTTAAAACCACTGTTTTTACACAGAGCAAAATATGACCCCTGAAAATTACAATGTATAGAGATTAAAAAGACTTGTCATTTGCATGAGAAAATTCCTCTGAAAGAGGAAACAGTAAAAGTTCAACTTCGTGCCAGTTGGCCCCAGGGCCAGCTCGTTTGAACATAGGTGATTATCCAATTTGGCTGGAATATTACCATTTCTATTTATCTCCTTACTTCTATGTTCCATGTTGGTCTTTTTTTCTTTTTTCCTTGTTTTTCTTTTTTAATCTATTTTCAGTTAAGATGTCTAATTAGATTCCAAATTTGAAACACATCTCTAACAGAAAGCAAATGGCAAGAATAGTAATTAAGGGACAGCTGTCTTTTGTCTTTCTGGGGATGAAACAGGCTTTTTTTTCCCCCTAAGTTATGAAATCCTACTGAATTTTTCATGATTTTTTTTCTTATGTTTGAATAATAGTTAACTGAATTGAAAGATACTGAATTGATCTTAAATAGTCAATGCCCTTTCCATCACAGATGCTAAGCACCTTTCTTCTGAAATAAGCATAGGTTAACTCTCAGACTCTGGGCCTTGAAACGTCTATTGCTGCAAATACAAAATCCTCGAATTTTATATCAAATCAAATCATTCTCAGGTGCCACATAGGCATTATTCCAAGTCATTTTTCTCACTTTAACTATTTTTTAACTTATGAGAATTTTACAAATCAAGAAGAATCAGCCTTCTCAGTGGAAAGGAATGATTCAGAGCAGCTGAGATGCAAACAGTATTTTTTTGTGTGGTTTTCCTTTGTTTAAGAGAACAAATATTACTAATATTGATATTGAAAATTACTTAGTAAGCTCTTACTCTAGTGCTCCCTGTTGGTACTTAAGGCTCTATTGTCACATGTAAAGTATAATCAGACTTTGAAGCAATTCACCATATAATTCACATCATGAAAAATCTTCTGCCTGAAAAAGCTAAACCATTGAAGCAAACAGACTTTTTTTCTGGCTTGAATTATCTAGATTCTAGAAAATTATCTATTATAATTTAATGTGCAGAGCCATAAAATAAGTCAATTACTTTAAAGCAGGCCAGCCTCAGGAGTATAAGGAACTTCTTAAAATACATAGTTCCAAGAAAGAAACTTTTTAAATATTTCCTAATGTTAACCTGGCAATAACTTCGCAAATTCTCAAGTAAAATTATGGTTCACACACAGACATACATATACACATATGTATACCTATGTCATATATGTATTTATTTTAGAACTTCTCAGAACCTTTAATATGTTAATGTGCATTTAAAGCTCCTGACAGTGTTAAAGTATTCAGATATTTTCAAACTTTCTTGACCCCAAACCATTTTATGCAGAACACATCATGGAACCAGTGTCCAGAGGAATGAACACATTTAAGAACCTCTTTGCAGAATAATAACACATCTACACCATGCTTTAGCAGCAGATGAAAGAGGGTAGGGTTGGGTGATAGATTTAAAAGCATCTATATTCTGGGGACCAGTAGAGAAGACCAGATAACACTGCACTGAAATGCCAAGGGCAGAAAGTGGCCAGGCAGAGCTCGTCCCTTACCATGGCCATTAAGGCCCTATGGCCTAGGCCAGTTCCCATATTCATTCTCATCCTATTTTCCACCCAGCTTCCTATGTCTCTCTCTACCTCTGAGACTTTGCTACAGCTACTTTCCCCCTTTTTCAATCATTTTATTTATTCAATGCTGTTTCATTTGTCTGGGACTCTCTTCCTCATACTTCAACTCTTAGATCAATGTCATCTTCCAGAAAAATACTCTGTGTGTAGCCAGTCCACAGTAGACTCCTCCCTTGCCACCCAATATGTTCTCCCACAGAACTCTGCTATTTCTCCTCCCAGCATTAATCACAGTTTTCACTCATACATTGATACCTGCTTATTTATTTCATGTCACCTCCACTATAAGCGCCAGAGGACAGGACAGGATGAGGCCCATCAGATTGGTCAGTTCTGTAAAATTACCAAATACCTCACAGAGGACTGTCTGCCATATAACAAGCCTTTAATCAATATGTGCTGATTTAATAATAAATACTAATAATTACTTTACATTTATGTCTAGGCCTAGCCTAATGAAAACCCTTGACATTGATTAATGCAGCGGTTCTCAACCTGTGGGTCGCGAACAATGAAAATACATCCTGCATATCAGATATTTACATTACGATTCATAACAGTAGCAAAATTACAGTTATGAAGTAGCAATGAAAATAATTTTATGATTGGGGGTCACCACAACATGAGGAACTGTATTAAAGGGTCATGGCATTAGGAAGGTTGAGAACCACTGGATTAATGTATTCATAGAAATCAATCCATCTTTAGAATATGGTCAGCCACTCATAACACATAATCACACATATTCTAAGACAACAAACTTGCAAAATATTTTTTAAATAATAGGGGCTATAAGATTGAATTAATCATCCATCTAAATGAATGTTATATATCAGTTACTGAGAATCACTCTTGTACCTGCTCTCTTGTTGTATTCCTCAAACAGCTCTGCTCTTTGGTTTCGCTTTGCTGATTTCAGAGCTCTGTGAAGGACAGAAGGGCACAATGTTAGGGCCAGTGTTTTACTGGGAAGTTCTCTTACAAAAGCATCCCTAGCCAACATACTTCATATGTTGGTTATGCCCATCGTTCCAAACTTGAGGACTTACATCATTGGCGTAAGATCCATGGAACAGGGCTACTTCTTCGCATTCCACATGAACCCGCTTCATTTGCTCACAGAACACCACCGGAAGGAACTATAGCTGACCCTTATTTATTTGCTTACATGAGCCAGCACTGTTCTAAGTTACATGGATAACTCACTTATTCCTCATAACCACTGGAAAGTCCAAGGTTACCTCAGCAGTTCCAAGTTAGGCAAACCCTGCACATTCCAAAGAAAGGCCTGTCATCCGCTCCTGGAAGATAAGCTCTGGAATAGTCTGCCTGGTAGAGGTTTTGTATGCCTGGGGCTGTGGCCTATGCTGTCCCACTTTGACCAGATATGTTTATGGTGAGCACCTGTGTTTTGCTTGGGGGAGCTGGAGTCTGAAGTCGGAATAGCTGAGGTCAACCGTCTAGTCCTGCAAGCTTATGTGACTGACCCCTAACAAAACTACAAGTGACCCCCAATAAAACTCTGGAGACCAAAGCTCAGTTGAGCTTCCCTGGATGACCACACTTCATTCATCTTCGCAGGTATTGTTGCTGGGAGAATTAAGTACATCCCCATGTAACTCCACTGGGAAGGGACATCTACGAGTTCGCAGCTGGGTTTTTACTTTATGTGCGTTTCTATTCGCAGATTTGAATCTGTTTCCTTTAGCTGTAATTTACAACTATGGCTATAATATAACAGCTTTTCCAAATCCTGGGAGCTCTTCCAGGAAATCACCCAGCCTGAAGGGATCATGGGGTGTCACCAGAGGAAGAAGGTTCTTTGAGGTGTCACAGGAAAGAATTCAGAGACACACACAGGAAGAGTTCAAGCATTGATGGTAAGATTAATTAAAATGAAAGTACACTCCTGGAGAGAGAGAGCAAGGGCAGGCTCAAAGAGCAGCTGCACTGATCCCTGGGGTTATGCTCCTTTTATTCTCAGATGTATTATGGAATTAAATACAAATAAAATACAACACAAAAAATAAAGAAAATTGTAACTAATTATTTGTGTGTGTTTTATGGAGAGGTCAAGTGTACTTCTGAAGCTTAAAATTTCTAAAAAAATTTTAGAAAGAAAATGCCTGGCAGATTAGACTATGTTAAAAAAAAAAACTTACCTAAGTAAAAAAAAAAAAAAAAGTTTAAACCAAAGCAGATTACAATTATTTACTATAAATGCAATACACCAAAAATCTACCCTATATAAATAATAAGTACCAAAATATCAAAGGATACTTCACAACTTATTAATGAAGAAACAACTTATTAATGGACATATGGAAAAATGTCCAACTTCATTAGTACTCAAGGAATTAACCATTAAACAATGACCAAAAATATCTCATCTAACAGATTGGCCAAGAAGAAAAAATGTTCATGTTTGATGCCATTTTGATATTGCTCTGAGTGTTACTCTCCCACAACTCCTAAGAGCTCTAAAAGTATTCCTACCCTTTCCCAGAAAATCTTGGAAACATTCTCACCACATATAATTTACACAAGGTGCTCATTTCAGGCACACCCCAGTTTAATAGCCTCTAAACCATAATAACCTTTAGGAAAGTGACTCAAATATTCATAATGGCATCACAGGTACCACACCCAGGACATAGGAGGAATGCAATAAATGTGTTAAATATATCAATGAATTAATGAGCTTATTTCTTCATTATTAAAGTAAAAGTATGGTAGTCTTCTCAAAAAATGTTTTCATACCCTTTGATCTAAGATTACTATGCCAAATTCTGAGATTATATTCTAGGGAAGTAATGCTAAATGTATTTTTTAAAGTTCTATACATAAAGAATTAATTCAATATATTATTTAAAATAGGAAAATATAGAAATAGACTAAATATAATAGAGAAATGTTTGAAAATATTGTTATAACAATTTGGTGAAATATTATGTCAGCATTAAAAAGAAGAGTTTAAAGTTCAGATTTTTAAAGGCTTATTCCAAAATGTTAAATGTGAAAAGCAGAATTTAAAGTTGTGTATTTGATATATAACAGGCATAGTATGGTGGTTAAGACTCAGCATAAAATCTCACCTTCACTAATACTTAACTATATCTCCATGAACAAGTTACTTAGTCTTCTTAAGCCTCAGTTTCCTCATTTATAAAATGGATAGTAACAATATTACCTAAATTAAAATGCTATTTTCATTAAAAATCAAATTAGATGATTCAAAGTGTTAACAGTACCTGTCATATAATAAGCATTCAGGAATTACAGCTATAGCTGATATTTAAACTATTAAACAGAAACAAAACCTTTGCAATTCAGATAGTCTCTAGATACTAATACATCAATGCGTAGGCAGTAGTTTTTGTGTGGTAGATTTTTAGCCTTTTGGAGTCTTTGGGACATATCCCCTATGTTTGGAAAATATCCCACCTTACAAGTTTACACATCACTAGGATGGATGCCAGAAATCGACTTCTCAGTCTTCATTACACGTTAAGAGCCTAAGTTCATCTAAAGGGGTATATGTTGAGAATGTTTGGGTGGAAGTGTAAGACCTGACTTTTCTGATAAGATAATGTACAAGGCTTCAATTCAAAAGCACGTGCTTCTCAGAATCTCTCTGACAATCCATTCCAAAAGCTGACATCTTTGCTAGCTCCCAGAGGCATTGGAGGCACAGTATGGACCATCAGGCCCACATCAGCAGTGTGGGCGGTGGCACCTGTGCCAGCATCAGTAACTGGGTGTGCATCCTGGAGTGGTGCTCATATGCATGTGGTTACACTTGGAGTTCCTGAGCCAATGGGTGGGTTGCCTCCAAGTCTGAGGTTCTGGTCATTAAGACTTTAACAGATTCTATGCACTTTTGCCTTTAGCAGCCCTTTTCTCCATCACACACACACATACACACACACACACACACGTGGATATAATTAGAGTTTATAACTGAATTGATATAAAGATAGGTATAATAATACTATGTAATAAAATTTTTCAACCCAATATTTTTTTCTTCAGATCTTAAAAGAAATGAAAATATTTTCATGGACCCATAAAAGCATCGCAGGTCATTGGCATTTTGTCTACTGTGCCTGATAGAAAAGTTGGCCCAACTTAATGTTTTTATTTATTTATTTATTTGTAGTTTTAACCATATTACTTTTTTTTATTGCTTAAAGTATTACAAGGGGTATTACATATGTGTCCTTTTTTTTCCCCTGCCCTTGACAATCCCCTGGCCTCCCCTAACCCCCAGTGTCTATGTCCACTGGTTATGCTTATATGCATGCATACAAGTCCTTTGGTTGATCTCTAACACCCCACCCCCCAACACCATCCCCTGCCATTTGTCTCTGGATCAATTTTTGTTCATCAGTTTATATTGATCATTATATCCCATATGAGTGAGATCATGTGATACTTATCTTTCTCAACTGGCTTATTTCGCTTAGCATAATGCTCTCAGTTCCATCCATGCTGTTGCAAATAGTAAAAGTTCCTTCTTTTTTATAGTGGCATACTATTCCATGTGTAGATGTACCACAGGTTTTTAATCCACTCATCTACTGATGGGCACTTGGGCTGTTTCCAAATCTTAGCTATGGTGAATTGTGCTGCTATGAACATACCGGTGCATATATCCTTTCTAATTGGTGTTTCTGGTTTCTTGGGATATAGTCCTAGAAGTGGGATTACTGGGTCAAATGGGAGTTCCATTTTTAACTTTTAGAGGAAAGTCTATACTGTCTTCCACAGTGGCTGCACCAGTCTGCATTCCCACCAGCAGTGCACGAGCGTTCCTTTTTCTCCGCATCCTCTCCACCACTTGTTGTTTGTTGATTTGTTGATGATAGCCAGCCTGACAGGTGTGAGATGGTACCTCATTGTTGTTTTGATTTGCATCTCTCGGATGATTAGTGACTTTGAGCATGTTTTCATATGTCTCTTGGCCTTCTGTATGTCCTCTTTCGGAAAGTGTCTATTTAAGTCGTTTGCCCATTTTTGATTGGATCATTTATCTTCCTTTTGTTAAGTTGTATGAGTTCTCTGTAAATTTTGGAGATTAAACCCTTACCTGAAATAGCATTGGCAAATATATTCTCAATTCAGTGGGCTTTCTTATTGTTTTGTTGATGGTTTCTTTTGCTGTGCAGAAGCTTTTTATTTTGATGTAGTCCCATTTGTTTATTTTCTCATTAGTCTCCATTGCCCTAAGAGCTGTGTCTGTAAAGATATTGCTATGACATATGTCTGCTATTGTGCTGCCTATGGAGTCTTGTAGGATTTTTATGGTTTCCTGTCTTACATTTAAGTCCTTTAGCCATTTTGAGTTTGTTTTTGTGTATGGTGTAAGTTGGTGATCTAGTTTCATTTTTTCCATGTATCTGACCAAATTTCCCAACACCATTTATTGAAGACTGTCTTGACTCCATTGTATGCTCTTGCCTCCTTTGTCAAATATTAATTGAGCATAATCGCTTGGGTCCATTTCTGGGTTCTCTATATGTCTCTATATGTTCCATTGGTCTATATATCTGTTCTTATACCAGTACCAGGCAGTTTTGAGAACTGTGGTTTGGTAATATAGCTTGATATCTGGTATTGTGATCCATCCAACTTTGTTCTTCTTTCTCAGGTTGCTATGGTTATTTGGGGTTCTTTTTTTATTCTAAATGAATTTTTGGAGAGTTTGTTCTAGATCTTTGAAGTATGCCCTTGGTATTTTAATGGGGATTGCATTGAATCTATAGATTGCTTTGGGTAGTATGAACATTTTAATGATGTTGATTCTACCAATCCATGAACATGGTATGTTCTTCCATCTGTTTATATCTTCCTCTATCTCTTTTTTCAATGTCTTATAGTTTTCCGAGTACAAGTCTTTTACCTCCTTAGTTAAGTTTATTCC